TACTACTTAATATATATATAAACTTGATGAGTAATATTTCGAGCCAAAACGAGCCGAACACGAACGAACACATCTTAGTTCGTGTTCGGCTCGTTAACTTATCGAACAAAATTAACGAGCCGAACATGAGCTTCTTAACGAGCCGAACACGAGCTGTTCACGAACAACGAGCCGTTTTGACAGCCCTAGATGTTCCCCGATACTCGGGGAGATCTGATTCAATAATAGTATAATATTTATATATTAAATTTGTGTTGTATGTTAAAATAATCTGAGCTAATTTTGAGCTGATTAAAAAAAAACGGAGTTGAATCGAGCCGAATACGAATATGTTTTTGTATTTACACGAGTTTATTTCAAGTTTAAAAATTTGGAATAAGTTAAACATGAGCATTTACATACATAACTCCCAATTCCTATATATTTTACATATCTAATACAAACTTTTGGACAATTTTACTTATTTATATGATAAACTAATCTCATCGTCTTCATATGTTTGTTGCCCTTCATATTAAATTTCAGACCTTTGCAAAAAGGGCAAGCGAGAGATTTATGAATAAGTTAAGGAGCCAAACATCATAGTAAATTGTTAATAAAACAAAAGTAGTTTTAATCAGAGTAATTTAATATAGAATTCATACATGGCACACAATTCGTGTATTTACATATCTCACATCTAAATTTTCATATTTACACTAAACTCAAAATTTTTAATATGACATCGAAAATAGCACTATTATTATTTTTAAAAAGTGGAAGTACATATTTTCATGTATATGCTAAAAACGCCAAAAGTGTTGTTAAAGATGAAGGGTCCATTTGGGGCAGATTATAAGTGTGGGCGGCATTTTCAAAATGTCGCCGTATTGTTTTTTTCGCGCGTTTTATTAGCTTATCCGAAATTGCGTTTGGGTTTTTACATTAAACGCAGGCCACGGGTCGGCTCCTGCGGTCGGCCCGCGGGCCTTGTTTTAGGATAATCAGTTTATCCTGAAATGCACAAACTGCTCCAAACGGTTCCGAAAATTTAGATTTGAGACACTTAAATACATAAAAATTGTGTCACAGTTGAAATTTTAACTATTTTTATCCATTATTTTAATGTAATGTTTAGCTAGCTTAAATGTTTAATACTAAATCAATGTATATAACTAATAAAAAAAGTGTATTCCAATGAATTTAAATCGAATAAATCACTCACAAATTTAGAATAATAGCATATATGTGATGCTCGTCAAGGGGGCACTTGCATGCACACCACTACAAACTACACGTTAATAAATGCAATGAAAATCTTTAAATAAGAAATAAATAAAACTATTACATTTATTAAAACCAGTTCGGGCGTTTGGTCTAGTGGTATGATTCTCGCTTTGGGTGCGAGAGGTCGCGAGTTCGATTCTCGCAACGCCCCCAAAATATTCCTTTTTGTTTTTTCTTTTATTTTTTTATTCTTTTCAAGTATTATGTACCGAACACAGACACTGGACAGAGATGGAAGATTAGCAAGAGCTTGCAAAACGGCAAAAGCCCCTCACGTCTGCCCATCGCATCGATATATATATATATATAATCACTGGCCGTGACCACCCTCCCCATCCCCAATTCCTCCCCTTCCTCCGCAAGCGACATCTTGCTCTTCTTCCCTTCTTTTAACCCCCAATTTGTCCTCCTCGCCTCACACACTCTCCATAAAATCCCTAAAAGCCTTTTCTAACGCGCTCCAATTCCCATCCTCTTCTCTTTTTTTTACCCACGAAGAACCCTACCTTGCCGATTCAGATGCTTCATCCTTCCGCCTCCTGATCGCCGCCACCACGGCGAGGCTAAGCCCCTTCTTGTATGGAAACTCGGAGCCGGAAGCGGGCAGAGGCCTCCTCTTCTAAATCTCCGGCAACCCGCTCGACAAAACGCCCCCGCACCTCTTCAGATCCCTCCGTCGCTACGCGCACTCGCCAGGCCTCTTCGATGGACTCCGACCATGCGTCTGGACGCCGCGACCGCCGTAGCTCTGGCGAAGAGAGGGACCCTCCCGAGGGTTCTTCTCGCGAAGTTGAGAGGATCTTAGGACTTAACTTTGATGGTGCTGGTGCCGATGATGACAACGACAGTGAAACTGGCGTTGGGGTCGGGATTCTCCATCAGAACTTTACCAACGCGAGTAGTGCCCTTCAGGGACTCTTGCGGAAACTGGGCGCAGGTTTGGATGATTTATTACCATCCTCCGCTTCGTCCTCGTCTCACCAGAGCAGTCGGCTCAAGAAAATTTTATCTGGGTTGAGGGCTGATGGTGAGGAGGGTAGGCAGGTCGAGGCGCTGACGCAGCTTTGCGAGTTGTTGTCGATTGGAACGGAGGATTCCTTGGGATCGTTTTCAGTGGACTCGTTTGTGCCCGTTTTGGTTGGGTTGCTGAATCATGAGAGTAACCCTGATATGATGATACTTGCTGCGAGGGCGCTTACTCATTTATGTGATGTTTTGCCTTCTTCCTGTTCTGCCGTGGTGCATTATGGTGCTATTCCGTGTTTCTGTGCTCGGTTGCTCACGATTGAGTATATGGACTTGGCGGAGCAGGTATCTTTCATTAGCTCATTGTTGTAGTTCTTGCGACCAGGTTTATACTTCAGACTGCGTTGGTTAGACTTGGAAAACGATATGTGATCATAATTCTGGCATTATTTTCTCTAATACTTTCCAGCTTTTCTATTTGTTCTTGAGCTTCTTAGTGTGTTGTTTCTTTTGTGTTAGTACTTTAAACTTGGGAAACCAGTCTGGAAGATTTGGTCACTGCACCATGCAGTGCTTGTTTCAACACATTAATTCTGCTGCTTAATATTACAATTTTAGTACCATTACTAGTTGGTGTGAATAAGTGGTGTATGCGATGGATATTTTCATGGGTTGCTACCGGTAAGTTGTGATAAATGCGCGAAGAGAACCTTAAATGTTTACATTTGTCTGCAGGTGCTGTTCGTCATATTAGGTTACAATCTCTTTAACCTAGTTTTCATAACTCCAAAATAATTTTCTGAATTAGACATTGATATTCTTATAGAATGGATGACCTCTTTTCAAGTGATTTTTAATTTGCAGCATGCGGGATTTTGAAATCAATGATTGCTTCCATTTCTAAGAAAATTAAGGGTACCTGACCTGTAAAGGTTCATGGAATGTGGTGTTTAATACTGACCACACATTAACAATAGCATTTTAACTTCAGGAATGAGAAAAGTTCACTTGTTCTTTTTGATGATGTTGTAATGGTCTTGCTGTGTAAATAGGAATAGATGACACACATGTTATGATTCCATGTAATTATGTTGAGGGAAGTTTCCTCTTTTTTAGCCAATTCATCTTAAATTCTATTGTAAAGATTTGTAGTCTGTGTTGTAACTGCTTCTTATTGTTTGCAATTTACTGTATTCAGTCCCTTCAAGCTCTTAAAAAAATATCACAAGAGCACCCAACTGCTTGTTTGAGGGCTGGGGCACTTATGGCCGTTCTCTCTTATCTTGATTTTTTCTCCACAGGAGTCCAGGTAAATGATTGCATTTTTATTGCTTTTCTCTTCAATATTCATAAATTTGCATCTTTAAACTCTGTTTTGGAACTATTCATTTGTTTTACTGATTATCTTTGCTTCTTAATCACACTAAACTTAGAGGGTAGCATTGTCTACTGCTGCAAACATGTGCAAGAAACTTCCGTCCGACGCAGCTGATTTTGTAATGGAAGCTGTACCGTTGTTAACAAATCTTCTTCATTACCATGATGTTAAGGTATTGATTTTACTGAATTTGAATGTGGTAGTAGAGTTTATATTCACCTTTTGTTTTATTTTATGTACCTTTTAAACCAATATTACATGTGATTGTAGGTTCTTGAATATGCATCTGTTTGCTTGACACGAGTAGCTGAGGCATTTGCCTCTTCTCCTGATCAATTAGACGAGCTTTGCAATCATGGGTTGGTTGCTCAAGCTGCTGGACTTATTTCTTCGAGTAACTCTGGAGGACAACCTTCCCTCAGCACATCAACATACACAGTTTGAGTTCATAACTCATTTGAAGGATTTATCACATACTTATTTGGCTTGATGACTTCACTGTTTTACTTGTTTTAGGGTTTGATTCGTCTTCTTTCAACATGTGCTAGTGGATCACCTTTAGCTGCGAAAACTCTACTGCTCCTTGGTATAAGTGGAATCCTTAAGGACATCTTATCTGGTTCTGGTCTTGTTTCTAGCATGTCAGTTTTTCCTGCCTTATCAAGGCCGCCAGATCAGGTATTGAGTTCATCTTCTTCATTTACACTTTCTTCATACAACGATTGTCTTTGCAAGTGAACAGTTTATCTAGTTAGATAGAAGGGAGAAATATTTTTGCATGATTATAAGGTAACTCATGAATAAATTTGAGCATATCGCATACATAATAATTATAGATATTTATTTTTGAAGTAGACAAAAGCAATCAAAACAAACAATCTTTCACTAAGTGGTGGAACTTGTGAAGTGAGAAATTCTTAATATCTTGAGATAGGTTGCTATTGTCTTCTATATTTGAATCAAACATTATGTCGGATGTGATTGCCCGTTTCATTGATATTGATTGCTATAGAAGTTTATGAATTCTAGGAATATATTATAGAAAAGGAGACTTAGCAGTGGAATGAGGTAAAAAGTGTTATCAAGGCAAATAAATATGTAAAAAAAAAAAAAAAAAAAAAAAAAAAAAAAACTGAATCTTTGATATGACTTACAATGACAACAAGTTAAATTTTTATGAAGATGGATGCAAGCAAAGAAAAGTTGCATCTTTTATGCATATGGGGTAAATTCATGTAAAACTTATAACCTCATTTTTTACTTATTTATTGACTAAAATCTTAACAAACTATCAACTTTCATTCTTAATGATTTGATTGTATCATGCACAAATGCTCGTTTTTGTTAGCTTATTTTGTTTGGCTTGGGTGGTGATTTTAAATAAGCATGATTTCAGTGATACATATATAATTCTCCTGATATATGAAGACATTTTTAGTTGGTTTTGGAAAAATTGATTTGCTTATATGCTAGGATAGAAGCAATTTTTGTGCCCAGGAAACAAATTGAATAGTTTAAAAAGCAAAGGAATGATCAATGATGCTTTTATCATAGTTAGATCAATATATTTCTAATCGGTGAGACCTTAGTTGAAATTAGTGAAAAGTTAGACTAAAGCCCCTTTTAATAGATAAATGACCTAAGATAAGTTTAACTAAGATTTAAGTGTTTCACGTGTAATTTTAATGAATATAATATGGATAATCATTGATCATTTTATTGTTGATCAAGTGGTGCTATGAGTGATGTATTTAATTATTATATATTTATTATAAAAAAGGGTGGGATTATAATGGAGAATTTGTCTTCCAGATTTGAGATTGAATAACCAAAATGGTGACTTCTCTTTAGAGCATTTATTATGATAAATGCTATAATTTAGACTTTAAGGCTATTTTGATTAAAATGTATGGTGATAAAGAAGGTGTTGATGATCAAAGTAACGTATGGTTGAAATTAAGATTGTTAAAATGGATTTGTGACAATACTTGAAAGTAAAATTACAAATTTTTTTATATAAGGGATGACGGGTGTAGCACCTATTGCACATATAAGATGATGGAAAATTTTTGTTTTTTTTTTCCGCCTTCTGAGGGGTGGGGATTTATTGATGTGGACTAATGAAAAAGAAACTTTGGGGATATATAGTGGAGGACAAAATATGCATTAATATGGCAAGCATATGAAGTTAACATGGATGTATTAGGAATGAAAATGGCTTATCCATTGACAGCATGATTAGGAGAAGTACAAAAAGATTTGCACAAAATAGAGTTAGCACCTCATGCAACTCTCGAATTAAAAATGGAGATTTATAGATTCAATACCAAATTATTAGGATAAAACTAATGATGTTGATGAAGAAAACTATAATTGTAAATTAAATTCACTAATACCTTGGATATGCGACATTCTTGTTAGAACAACTTGATGTATTGTAAGATTAGTAGAAATATATAACTTTCTGAATGATTTTCTGATTATTTTGATTTGCAACAAAGTTCTTATATGGTTATGATGGTGCAATTTATATTTCTAAACCAGCATTCTTAAATATGAATGGAAATGTTGGAACTGATGCCTTGATTATGTGATTCACTACCACTTTTATGGGTAGTGGGTTGTTGTGTGTAGCATTTTCCTGATGTAATGTTGTTTTAGATTGCTTGCTTCTTGTTATTTTTACCTTTTTAAAGTTGTCTGATCTTAATAATTTCTAGAGCCACGTAATGCAGCCACTAAATTGGGATACTTAGTTTATTATATATGCTACTAGCTTTATTTATTTTTTTGTATATCCGTTTATACTTGCCCAGTTATAACCTGCTAGTTGTTTCTATTATTTCTAGCTTTACTAAGATGGCGTTTGTGCAATCTTGCATCTAGAGCTGGAAATGTTTGGAACATTATGGGAAAAAGCAATTTTAGCATTTATTGGTGTTCAACTCGAGTCATTTTTATGCAATGCTTGTTTGTAATTATGTTATTGATGATTTTGAAGCTAGAAAATTGGAATTGTTCCATGGAGTGACTTGGTCAACTTCAAATGGGAAATTGAGATCATGACTGCCATCATACTGGACAAAGGACTCAGAGAAGAGTTTAATTAGCCATCAAGCTTTACATTTGCCTTACAATCAAAGTTGTGCTAAGGTGAAAGATGCATTTCATCGCACTTATAAATGGAGGGAGAGGCTATATATAGAAAAGTGTGAGGCAATTGGATGGGGGCTTTATGGCAGACAATGCTTAAAATTGTGTAATTGGGTATTGAGCTATTATCTTTAATGATTATGAGAAATCTTTGTAATACGTTTTAATCTTTGTTCAATTACCCTCTCCCAATTATGAGAAATCTTTGTAATACGTGTCAACCTATGTTCAATTACCACTCCCATAATCATTGTAATACGTGTTCAATTATCCTCTCTCATACTTTTAAAGTATGACACATCAATAAGAAAAAAAAACTCCCAATTCTTCTAAATATTTCCTCACTTTAATGGGAATATTATAAAGTCCTACTGATTTTTCACGAGTAGTTTTCTTTAAAGCACCATCAACTTTTTTTGTACTATTGTGATGGTAAAATAAGATCACTAAGGCTGATCATACTTTTAATAACATTTTATTACTACTAACAAAAAATATATATATATA